TAGTAATTAGTGAATGTCCTCTGTGGAATATACATCTATACCTTCAGTACTTCTGGATACCTCTCTACATTTAGCACTTTTGTGCAAAGTTCTCCAAAGCACAAAGTAAGATATCTGACAGCTGGGCTAACATCAAGTTTGAGCAAAGGAAAAATAAAAAACAACCAGACAAGAAAAGAAAAAAAAAAAAAACAGAACAAAACAAAACCAAAGGAAATCAAGAAAAGAAAGACTTAAAGAATAAAGTGGGAAATATTCCAAAGAAAGAGAAAAAGTTCAATCACTTTTTAAAACAGACTGTAAGTCTGAGGACCTTAAGTAGAAGCAAGCCATTCCAGAACGAGCAGTGTTTGGGGTTATAAGAAAGCAAAGCAATTTTCCTGAATTTAGAGGGTAGCAGAGTTGAAGTGGATGTGTGTGTCATTTGTTGGGAAGAAAAGAAAAAAACCTTTACAAAACCTTCCTACAGTGTGAAATGGCTTGTTGTATTACTGCAAGGGCTTGTATCACTTTCAAATGGGAGCAGCAAAATCAGCAGTTGATTTTCAGGAAGCAGTAACTAGGAATATTGTCTGCCAGGTTTGGGCTGATGTCTAGTCATGCTGGAACCAGCCAGGGCGGGAGGAGGAGGCAGTCTGCACAGTAGTGACTATTAAAAAATGATGAAGTAAAAGGAGTGTGAAAAAACACACACTGAAATCCAATTGGATTTCAGTTATATTTTATAAATGCTGCTTTTTTTTTTTTTTACATTTAGTTTCAAAAAAAAAAAAAAAGAAACAAAACAACATAAAGATACTGGGATAAACTCTGCTTCCTCTTGCATCAGTAAGAATCGAGTTTCTTCAACAGAATTGCTATCGATTCATATTGATGCACCGGAGAGTAGGATTTGTCCTATTGCCTGGGGTTCTCTCTCTTGGTTTTTGAAATTAAATGCTTTCTGTGCACAGGGAACAGCTGTACGCTTTCAGTCTGTATGATTTGAATTTTAGATTAAGAAAAAAGAGACCCAAAGGTAAAGCCCTTTTCAGAGCACACAGTGCACGTGGCTGTTGGTGTATGCGTCCTCGCTAACACACTCTGTCTTACAAAACCAATGCGACCGCTGTTTGACTTTCTTTCCACCCGATCTGCTACAGAAAGGCAGATGCCTTCAAAATGTAAAGGCACAGCACAGAGAAAACAAAGGCCTGACAATTTGCATGCAGACTGGCTCTAGTCCTCTTTGCGTGGGGGGAAACAAAAGGAAAAAACACATCTGCAAAAAGGTCAGACCTCAGAAGTGTTCCCAAGATCCCTTCAGAGGAAAGGAATAGGTTTCAGAGGAGCTGAAAGTAGAGGCTGAAAAAACCTTACAACCTGTCCCTCTTGGATTACAGCTGTTCTCAGGACTGAAAGGGTTGGGATAGTCAGGCTATCATCAGTGTTCAAGTAAACTATATTTGGGTTACAGGGCTTGTAGAGCTTGGCGATAGGTGACTATCACCCCTCCGTCACAGATGAAGAATATGTTTCGTGGGAAGGTAAAAGAAAAAGTTGCCCAAAGTGAAATAATGCTTAAGAGTAAGCAACAGATTGCAGATCTCCTGGTCCGGGCTGTAGATTAGCCCCTACATCATTTGAGGATGATCAAAACGTTTTGGGAGCAGTGCCTGTAACAAGAAGATGCTGCCAGGAGCCTGTGGAAGGACATGGCTTAGAACAGAGAGGTCAAGACGAGGACGTTCTTTTTAGTACTTTGCTTTATTTTGTTCGTATAATTTATCTACAACCATTCCATTACGTGATCACAATTATTTGCCTGAAGTCTTAGAGTCATCATGGCAGAAATTTATCTCCAGGAGGACTGTAACTGAGAAGAAGGTAATGTGGCTTTTGAGGGCAGCAATTTTTATGGGATAAATGAGCAAAATTTAAATTCTTGAGGAACTTTAAAAATCCTTTTTGGCACAGTAGCCTTAAATAAAGGAGGAGAGAAGTAATATACAGATTGTATGCCGAGTTCACTTCATTATTTATAAACAAAATGGTTCTCAGTTTTCCAAGGTGTAGTGCCAGCACTTGATGTCACTTGGAGGTTTCAGAAAGGTAAATTATTGGTCACCTTTTCATGGAAATTGTTTGGGGCAGCCCAGTGAATACTGATGCAGAGGTGAAAAGTTGCAGGCTGTCAAAATTCCCTTGAGCCCTTTTGGAGCACGTAACATGTGTACCTTGTGTGGCTATGTATTCACCTTTTCCCTTGCTGTATAGCTAGGTTGGTTTTTTTTCCTCTAACTACAAAATAAACATTACACATAGTGGCTCAGAGGTAAATCTTTCTTAGTCACATACTTACTGGTCTAGGCAATACCTATGTTTGGTAACGTGGAAAGAAAATCTACTAGCTGACTGTATGGGGAAAGGGGTGAAAGGTCATATCCATCAGAAAGTGTTAAAGTTTAACAGTAAAGCTTGTCTGTCAGGTTTAGAAGGAAGGTAGATCTTGGTAAAAGCTGCTTTTAATGAGGTGTTGTAGTGCATGAAATTGTGGAATTGAAGAGGTTTTGAAAATAAATCCTGGATTTGCCCCCTGTGTTTGTGGTCACTGTTCTTTGCTGTTGGATTTTCTTTCTGTTTTGCTTTACTTTTTTTTTTTTTTTCCTGCCAGGAATGTGTAAACTAATTGTTGCTTTTTTCATAGTGTCTGGTGCCCTAGAGATATAAAATATCGTGAATAAACTGTATCTTGAAGTCTGTGTGTGCAGTTTGGCTTCAATAGCCCTGCTTTCAGAGTATTGTATTATAGTGTGTTTTATCCTGGTAATTGGAACAGAACCATTTTCATGACAAGCTCCTACTCCGTCCAAATAAGAGTATCAAAACCTGGCACTGAGTTGTGCTTCTGCAAAACTCCTCTGAAAGTGTGACAAGGAGGTCTGCCTAAGGAGGGACTGAAGAGAGCTGGAGTAGGCCTTCAGTCAGGCCCATGATTTATTTTTTTTTCCTGACAAATTTTTGCATTTCTCAGTTGCAACAGTGTTGCGCAGCTTGGAGAAGGGCTGTTTCCTTGGCTGTAGGAGAGGGATGGGGAAGGAGCCCATTTGCTCATTTCCTTCCTTTCTCCAGCAGACCAAAGGCCACTGGTGGTTTGCAGTCCTCCGCTTCCAGAATCTTATCTCTTTCCCAGTTTGCGCTCTTATCCATGGGTTATCGCTAGTCATTTAAATAGGGTTTTTCCTTCAAGTCTAAGGAAAGGGAAATGGGCAAAAGATAGTATCTCCTTTCCCTCAAAGGAGAGATCAGAAATGTTTTCGTCTTCTGCAGGGGAGATTAGCTAAACTTCCCACCATGCCTTTCCCCATTTGCAAGTTTTTATCTCTGCTTCCTTAAGCCTGTAGGGCTCGAAGGTACATAGCTTCCTCTGCTGAATACCTCTTAATCCCTTCCACCTCTGTGGTAGTGGAGATCTGCTCCACTAGACAAGCTGCAGCTCTTCATCTTACTCAGTTACGCTATGCTTTCACCAAGGTGGGCTCTTCTCAGAGCGGCCACAGTTTGCAGATGAAGATTGGTGTATTGATGGCGATTGAAAGGCTGTGTGAGAGGTTGTCTGGGAGGCTGAATATAAGGCAGCGCCTTGCAAAGCCACATGGAGTCAGTAACCATGTTGCCCCGTCATAGGCATTCTTTGAGTATTTAAGCCAAGTTCTTTGCTAATTACTATGCACATAAAGGTAATTACATGGTTGCCAGCAAAAGATTAACTGAAACAGTGTTGGGAGATCACTTCATATGTCAAAAAAATAGGTAAATCTGTGCCAGCAACGGTTTTACTTGACATAAATCTCTCTTCAGTGAAAACTCCCTTATTTTTGGGGTAGCATAAGAGAAGAAAGGTTGATTATTTTCTAATGATATCAGAGTTCATGCATCTGCTGGAAGCAGCAATCCACTTACTCCATGTTGCATTGATATCTCAGAAGGAAGTCTGTCCAAAGCATAATAGTGTGAATGTATGTGAGACTTGCTATCCAGCATGCATTTAGGAAAATCTAAATTTTACCATTCTAAGATGAGAGAAATAATAACGGGTGCCTATGGTTACAGTGCTAAATTTCAAGTCAAAGCACAGTCCAGTTTTTTTAATGACCTCTTCAGCTACAGGGCTGTTTGTTTTCCTAATAACAATGTTGTAGTGTAAAGAATAGGGGAGATAGTGTTAGGAAAAAAAGAAGTCCAAAAAAAAGAATAGTATTTAAGATATGAGGAACTTGGGAAAAGGATCTTGTGATGAGTGTTTGATATGAGGACACTTTGAAATATAAGGTAAAGCAGGGACGAGGAAGGGCCTCTGTGAGAAATTGGAAGTCATAAAGATTTTAAAGGAAAGGTCTGTTGATACCACAAGACAGGCTTAATTCCAAGAGAGGAATCAGAGGTGACCTTCAAGTACAAGAGGAGAGGTTTCTTTCTTATTGCTGAGATTTGCTGACATGAATGTAGTGAAGTCAGTTAGTCTAACAGCTCTGAAGGATGGAGTCCTCTGTCCACAAGCAGATATGTGAGGTAATAGCAGTAACAAAATTGTCTCTCACCCGCTTTAGTATACCTCAGCCTTGTTTTGAAGAGGCTATATTTGGCTATGAGATGGTCATCCACTCTCTGTTGTTATTTCTTCTTTGATTTCTCTGTTGGGATGATTGATAAGACCAATGCCAATTTTATCGTATGGGTGGCTAGGCAGATGTATTGGCATCCCATATGACACATTTTAGTTTTGCCTGTCTGCACCAGATTTGAATCTGTGCAGTACACCTAATATGCCGTCATAAATGGTGACACCAGCATACTGTGCCTCTTCTGGCTGAGAGCTTGAAGATGCATTCTAGTTAAATGTATATTATACAGTGATGGGAATTTCTGTCACTGTTTAAGTTGGTAGTAATAAATGTGGATATCTAACCTGAATATATTTCGGGTGTGTGTTTTACAACCTAAAGTCACTTAATCGGGTCATGACTTGGAACTACATGAGGGATGCTGCAGGAGGAAGCGTTATGGCTGGTACAACTGGCTTTGCCTGCTCTTTGCTTTCAGTCAGTGACTGGTGGAAAGTTTTGGGAAAACACTATGGAGGACTGCTTATGGTAAGGCACTGCTTAGGGTGTGACATAGAAAAATAAAAGACCGTGGCTACTCCTGCCTTTTGAAAGTCTGGAGGGTTCTCCATTTTGTTTAAGAGCAATTAGCTTCCCTCAGGTGGTTAAATTCCAAGTTGGTTAATTACATTTTTGCTCCCCTCTAATTTTGTCCATCTTGTAACTGCATTCTCCCTGCTGGATTCCACAGTTACTTGTTTTGGGGTGGGGGCTGTTTGTTTTGTTCTGCTATTCTGTTTGTGAAACAGTTGGAATACAGGCTGCCTGTGGCTGCATTTCAGATGACAATTGAACAAGTGACTACTAATCAGTAGAGATGTTGCTCAAATAACTATTTATCCACATCTCCGTGTTTTCATTGCCTGATTTCTCACCTGTCCCCTGTGATGTTTGAAGGCAGCAAATGAGTCACTATGTTCAGCTGAATGCTGTAAAGACGAGTGTGAAAGACAATGTTTGTGCTGAAGCAGAGCCAATGAAATGTGCCCTGAAAATGCTCAAAATAATGCTTCCTTGTATTCTTCAGTGCCATCTATCGGCACAGTTACCCATTAGAGATTTATAGGCCAAGTACATTCTCCTAATAGGCACCAATTTACAAGCATTTGTTTCCTTTTTTTCTTTCATTTCAGGAGCAAGGCAAGATTGGTGTAGTTTTCAATATCGGCACAGTGGACATCTCTATTAAAGAAGAAAGCACACCTGTAAATGATGGCAAATACCACGTGGTACGCTTTACCAGGAACGGTGGCAACGCCACGCTTCAAGTTGACAGCTGGCCAGTGAATGAACACTACCCAACAGGTACATACTTTTTTCTCTTTGTTTTTCTCTTTCTGCCTATCCATATATATATTAAAAAAAATGTTTAACAACTGGGTACTATATAAATCTTTGTTGCTTCATCGCAAGAGTAAATTGATGAGCCTGGTGGCATGCGTTCTGTCTGTTGGAAAACAAAGTATGGTCCTTTACATAGGAAGAGAAAACACACCAACTGTGTGGTATGATGCACATAGATCCTACTATTTCAGAGGTCTCTAAGTGAATCCTGGTTCTGCAGAGAGTCACAAACTGATTCAACAACAAATTTGGTTTTGCTACTTGTGATATTTTCTAACTGTTTAAGGGAGAAAAGTTTTGAATAGACCTTACAAAAAGGAGGGGTGACTCTAGCCACACCCAAGACGCTATCATAGATACAGAGTTGAATTACAAGTAATGTGGAAGATTAAGTTGCAAGTATTTGAACAGACTTTATGCTCATAGTCTTTCATCACTTGAATTTTACTTTTAGGTTTGCAGATAATAAACAATCTAGCCAAAGCTGTCAACTCTTAGTTGACTTTAGGTCAAAATGCAGTGGAACAATTCAGTATCTCTTTAGAAATCATCACCCTAAATCCACTAGGAATAGTGAACAACTGGCTCTTGAATCAGTGTCCTGTGTTTTGTCCCACCACTGGCAAATCACAGCCTTGTGGTATTGTATGTCACCATGCTAAAAGGTCAAACACATTCCAAGTGAAGAACAGATTGCTGTAAGTGATGTTGACAGTGCATCAGATAGCTAAGGCTTGGTGATGTGGATGGTTACAAAACACAGGAGGAGCACAAGGAAAGAATTCCAAGGTTAACCACATTCTTCTTTTTCAGGTGTTATTGTCTAAGATAAAGCCTTGGTCTTCTTGTCAGTTTCCAGTATTAAGTTTAAGCAACTCCCAGTTCTTCCTTTCAAGGTTGTACATGACTGACCCAGGATAGAAGGAAGAATTCTGTGATAAACATGAGACAATTTGCTAGTTGTGTAGGGGTGGCCCATAAGCCACTTAACCTCAAATTATGAGAAATATCCTAATTGTTTATGTAATGTTACACTAATAAATTGCTCCAAGGGGATAATTTAATCTCTTCCACTGAGTCAGAAAACACACAAGAAAATTTTAATATAAGTGATCTGTCCTGTGGTGACCTCTACCACGTAATTCAGTGTGATACTTTGTCAGTGTTTTGGTGATGTATATGCAAAAGAGTACATTTTAATAATTATCCTTATTTCTGTGAAATAATTGCTTTCCAAGAACGCCATGAGACACATGCTGAGTAAGATTCTAGCTCTATTATCCATTGGTTAGAGAGGGAAGCATGGCTAGGAGAGGCCCAAACTAAGCATCTTTCTTCTGCTCCTTTCATCAATTATTTTGTGGTAAAATACCTCTGATCCAGTTGGCAGCCAATTATTGTTAGTAAAAACCCCATGAATAAATTTTCTTCTTCTATTACTTGCTGTAGTAAGTCCCTGGTGTAAAGAAACAAAATATTCAGCTCATTGCCTTAGAGAATATTTTTATTTTTTTAAAGGGAAAATAAATCACACTCAGAGAATACTTCAGTACCCTCTGCTTCTGTCTTGGCTAAAGATATTCCTGTGTTTTCATTAGAAGATATATGGGTTTATAGAATTGGCATTAATCTTATGTTCTGGGTTAGTATTGAGTATATGCAGTTTTTCCCCAAGGGAAAAGGACACCTTTATATTCCAGACACCTTTTCCTTTCCATGCATGTATTTCAGTTTCTGGCTGTTTGTAAATGATGAAGTTTTCAGCCTGTCCCTCTGAGAGGCTTATGGGATCGTACTTGCTGTGTGTGCATGTGTCTCCCTAATTTTTTCCAGTTTCTTTCAAACCGATATTTTATCTGAATTTAAAAAAGGGGTAAAAGTTTAAAAAAAAAAAAAAAATCTATGTGGCTAGGGAAAATAACCAAGGGAGGAGGACAGTGTTCCAGCCTTCCCAAAGGAAAGGACTGTGGCTTGATCTCAATTCATGTTAAATACCAGAATATCTATCTAATAAAGGGGCATTATGAATGCCTCAGATTCAGGAAAAGCTTCAATGAGAAAAAACAGTGAGCACAGGAAACCAATCCTTATTGGTTCCATTTTCTGGCGAATTAATGGTTTAGAAGAAAACCAAACAGGAGCTTTTGAAATGAATAATTTGTTATCTTTCACAGACCAAAATTGCAGTAGCGTTTCTCATACTGAGTGCAAGACCAAACTGGTCTTCAGCAGAGTTTCAACTCTGTAAAAAGCTTTGAGGTTGGGTTGACCCAGGCTAATCTAGCGTCGTTCAGCTGGAGACTGCTGAAACTGCAATTGGTTTCAGACTTGTGTCATAATAGCTAAGGAATCTTGTATTTTATACGTAGGACCACTTCAATTCTGGAAAGGCAATTATTTGTAGTGTTTAAAAACATCATATTTGTAGCACATGCATGTTTGCGCATGCTCTGTTGTCTGTAATATGAAGAATTTCATGTGTGCTTGATTTCCTGCACAGTAGTACAGCCTAATGCTCGCAAATTTTGCAAACTAGCAAACTTTGTGATCACACATGATGCAATCTTCAGGCAGCAGGGCTGCTTTCTGAATGGCATTTCCATGCTCCTCTCTAAGTTTTATTACCTGTAGAAGGATTATGCATTAGACTCATAATTACTTGCTCAATTGAAAGTACAAATAAAAGTAGGATATTCATTAAATGAGCAAAGAGAGAGAATATTGGCTTTCCTTACAACACAGTCTTCAGTTAAATTGAAATTAAATGAAACTAGCCCAATGGGACTGAAAGACTCCAAAGCTGTATTTTTGCAACTTCATATAAAAGTCAAGGAAGTGGAAGGAAAACGGAAAAGCAACAAACTTACAATTCAGGTGCTGACATTTTGGTTTTTATAGCATCCAATTACATCTCAGTCACCTGCAACATGAGCTTTATGCTTTCTTGTGAGGAAAAAGGTTAGAGAGAAATTGTAAAGGATGGAATTAAACTGGAGCTAAGATTGGCTAAGCTTTGGGACTGAAATAATCCCAATAATTAGCGGTGATCTTTCACCAGTTGTACCATTCCAGACCTGCCAGAGTTTCTCTTACTGGGCAGTAAGACTCTGAACAGCGGCCCGGTGCAGGTATCTGAGACAAAGCTCCTGGCAAATAGCAGCACTAGCACAGGGACTGCTATCTGCAATTCAGCTGCTGCGATTTAGTTCAGCCAAAATCTTTGAGCCATTTATGATTTATCTGCATTAGTTTTGCCCTTTCTGCTTTCCCTCAAGTACACAATAAGGAAAAGGGCTTTTTCAATAGGCTGTGCTGATAGTCACTTCCTCAATTCTTAATTCATGAAGCTGATCATTGCAACGTATTTCTCAGTCGGGATATACGCTTTTTGCTAACAAATGCATATGAATTTCTATGCCCTAAAGAGCAATTTTCCATGCCTGCCTGCCTTCTGTTGTCTCACACGCCTTCACCCTGTGGTGTACATCCCAAATAACAGATTGTACTTGGTCATTGTTATTTTCTTGCTTTTATGCTCCCGCTGAAAGCCTTCTCTATATCTAAGTTAATGTTTTTGGTGGTGAAGTAGGAGACATTTTGGACCAAGCGTAGGTAAGATAGGAAAGCTGTTTCAGGTAGATGAAGCCTCTGATGTGTTTTTATTTCAGATTACAGTAAACTCATCAAATTTGAGGCACTTTACAGTAGGACAGAAGGACTTAAATTAGGAATCCTGAGGTTGGGAAGGAGTCAGCAATTCTCAGAAGGGTTAAAAACAAATATTCTGTCTTGGCACAGAACTCGGATACCTCAGTCCCAAAGTTTTCATAATTTCTGAGGAGATTTTTTTTTTTCTCTCTCCACTGTCTTTGCTTGCAAAGAAATACTTGTGTGTTGCCAGATTTATAGTGTATATCGAAACAAGTATGATATTCCTGTTCATTCATCCATGCACTGACTACATTTTCTGCAGTAGAAAAAGAAACAAAACTAGGTGAAGCGAAGCTGTAAAGCAAGAGTATCAGTGCACCAAAATAAAGTCTAATTGGAGTAATATTTTAAAGGAGACGATTAAAGAAAGGGAGGTGAGAGGCAGGAAGAGGTTGTAACTTAAAGAAATACATGATTTAGCAAGAGAACTGTGGCGTGGATTTTATTCCTGCCTTTTAAAAATAAGAAATAGGACAGTATTAAACAACTGGATCCTTATCAGGATTCATTAGTTCATCCACCCAATGCAGATTTCATATTTTTCCCCTTTATCATTCTCTTGAGTGATCTCTCAGCCTTCTTTTAGGAGTCTCTACCCTTTCAAATGACATTAATTTGCAGTTCTATTGGCACTGAATAAAAGAAAAAAGATTTCGTCCTCTGTACCCCTACTTCATTCTCTCTCTCAAGTACATGTTTTTGAGGAAGTTGGATTTTAGGAAGCTGGACAGTTAGCTCTTGACAGCAGAACTCCAGGGACTTTTTGACTGCTCTGGCAAGTACTGTGGCCCAATATGTGTGTATCTATAAAATAGCAAGTTGGTTCTGAGACCCTGGTGTCTGTACTGGGGTTTCCCTTCAGAATAGTTCCAGTCCCTAGGACTGAATGCCCCTGAACAGTTGGGGCATATCTTCTGGTTTAATTTCATTTGAAAGGAATCCAGTTTGTATTCCCTGAGAACATTTCAGTATGTGAACCAAAATGTAACAAGTGTAGGGAGTTGGAGGTACACCTCAGAGGCATGCTTCTCATTCAAACCAAAATACTGACGTAGATGGATCTTACCATACTATACAGCTGGAGGTGGACAGAGGAGTTCATTCTTTCATTACTCCGTCCCATACTCATGTTGCTTAAATAGTCAAATTTCTGGTTTCTACTCTCTCTCATCTTCAACTGGATCACTTCACCAATGACATTCACCACGTAACTGGCCCAGGAAAAGAGTCCACATGGGAGAGGACACGAT